AAACATGCCAGGCACCCAAAATCCTGAAAGGAGAAAGGGAAGAGAAGAGATTGTTGCATGGCGATCCCCTGTGGGTGCTTTCTTAGTTCCCTCCTCTCTCTGTCAAGCACATGTACCCTCTAGCAAATTTTCAAATATGTATATTTTATTAACTCAGTAGTGTTTCATTATTATCATTATGTCAGTATTCATCCTGAGCCAAATAATTTGTTTTTTGTGATCCTTTGTTTCTTTGAAATCAGTAATTACATTGTTTCTTTCTCAGTTTTGAGTTAATGGCTAAGACTTTTCATGCTTGCCTTTTTTTTTTTTTAGAGAGATTTTTGCTATAGGGCATGTGTGCTTGCTGGAGAGACAGGCAAAAAGAAAAATCACCCCTCGGGGGGATGGCCATGCTACAGTCTCTTCTCTGTTGTCCTCTCGGGATCTTGGGCAGGCACACCCGGTGTAAGCCGCCAGGTCCAGGATTCAAACTGTAGTCGACTCCATGGGAGTCCAGAGACGTAACATTATGCCTTCTGCTGGTCCCAAGACCTTCCATGCTTTCTGCCAGCTGAACTGTAGTTCCTCTGCTGTGCTGTGCTACTTTAGAACTCCTTTTATCTAATAACAGTTTTGTTTCTGTTAACCAAGTTGCCCTGCCTTCCTCCCCCTCCCCTTCTAAGCTGCTGAGATCCACCATTCTTTCTCTTCTACTCAATCAAGTCTTTTTTTTTTTAAAGAATTAGTTATTTAATTCTATTTACTCATTCATTTATTTTAATTTGACCACAGAGAGAGAAAAAGAGGGTAAGTGAAAAAGCAAGCACCAGGTCTAGGACTCAAACTATGACTGGCCATATATATGGGAGTGTCCAGCGCCCCAACCACCATGCCACCTGCTGGCCCCATCAAATATATTTTTTTAATTCCCAGAGGATGCATACACTTGCCAGAGACCTAGAGAGAATCCCCTCTTCATTCCCCCATCCTATCAGGATCTGGGCCTGTGTGCACACATGCCTGGCATTCTTCCAGTCCACCAGGGCCAGGATGCAAACCGAAAGAGTTTGCCCTCTTCCTAAAGATTCTGAAATGAGTCAGAATTGCACATTAATTAAATCAACCCCTAGACAGTACTGAATCCAAAGCTAAAAAATTCATTCCCTATTCTACAAGGGCACTTCAAGAAGCTCATGGAAAAATAGAATTCAAGTATAGATTTGTTTTGGCGTAAGAAAAAAATTGAAGTCCAATGTGCAAGGTTTTATCTAATGCACATTTTCCATGAACTTTTTGTTTTATTTTTCTCCAGGTTGTAGAGGCATGCGTTTACTAGAGAGGCGGCGGGGGCGGGTGAAAGCACCCTCCAGTAGGGCGTAGCCACTCGGCAGCTCTTCCTCCTCCGTGTCTCTATCCTGCTGGGGTTTCAGACACACAGGCACGTGTTTCTGGCCAGGACTCAGGCTGCAGTTGGCCATATGGGATCAAGTTCCTCTTAACCTCCAGGCTAGAGGACTGGCCGTCGAGGAACTTTCTGAAGACCCCTCATGTTTCCTATCCCAAGATATTTCTAGTAACCCTGGCCCAGTTAAGCTCAGAATGCATTCTGAATTTTATTTTTTTTTAAGTTTGTGCCATAGGGTGTGTGCACTCACCAGAGACATAGAAGGGACGGTGAGAGGGAAAGTGAGAAGTCACTCCCCACGGGAAAGGCCATGCTGCAATTTCGTTTTCTCCGTTCTCCTGGGATTGGGGCGCACATGCACGTACGCCTGGCGTGATTTTCAAGCCACCAGGCCCAGGACTGGAACCATACTTGGCCATGTGAGAGTTCAGCTCCTTAACCACAATGCCACCTGCTGGCTGGCCCTTGGAATAGCAATGTTAATATGCTTTATACTTTAACAAAAATAGGAATGTCAGCTACAGCGATTTGCTCTAAATTTTTGCTATAGGGCATGTGTGCTTGCTGGAGAGACAGGCAAAAAGAAAAATCACCCCTCGGGGGGATGGCCATGCTACAGTCTCTTCTCTGTTGTCCTCTCGGGATCTTGGGCAGGCACACCCGGTGTAAGCCGCCAGGTCCAGGATTCAAACTGTAGTCGACTCCATGGGAGTCCAGAGACGTAACATTATGCCTTCTGCTGGTCCCAAGACCTTCCATGCTTTCTGCCAGCTGAACTGTAGTTCCTCTGCTGTGCTGTGCTACTTTAGAACTCCTTTTATCTAATAACAGTTTTGTTTCTGTTAACCAAGTTGCCCTGCCTTCCTCCCCCTCCCCTTCTAAGCTGCTGAGATCCACCATTCTTTCTCTTCTACTCAATCAAGTCTTTTTTTTTTAAAAGAATTAGTTCAAGTCTTTTTTTTTTTAAAGAATTAGTTATTTAATTCTATTTACTCATTCATTTATTTTAATTTGACCACAGAGAGAGAAAAAGAGGGTAAGTGAAAAAGCAAGCACCAGGTCTAGGACTCAAACTATGACTGGCCATATATATGGGAGTGTCCAGCGCCCCAACCACCATGCCACCTGCTGGCCCCATCAAATATATTTTTTTAATTCCCAGAGGATGCATACACTTGCCAGAGACCTAGAGAGAATCCCCTCTTCATTCCCCCATCCTATCAGGATCTGGGCCTGTGTGCACACATGCCTGGCATTCTTCCAGTCCACCAGGGCCAGGATGCAAACCGAAAGAGTTTGCCCTCTTCCTAAAGATTCTGAAATGAGTCAGAATTGCACATTAATTAAATCAACCCCTAGACAGTACTGAATCCAAAGCTAAAAAATTCATTCCCTATTCTACAAGGGCACTTCAAGAAGCTCATGGAAAAATAGAATTCAAGTATAGATTTGTTTTGGCGTAAGAAAAAAATTGAAGTCCAATGTGCAAGGTTTTATCTAATGCACATTTTCCATGAACTTTTTGTTTTATTTTTCTCCAGGTTGTAGAGGCATGCGTTTACTAGAGAGGCGGCGGGGGGGGGGGGAAGCACCGCGGCGGGGGCGGGTGAAAGCCCCCTCCAGTAGGGCGTAGCCACTCGGCAGCTCTTCCTCCTCCGTGTCTCTATCCTGCTGGGGTTTCAGACACACAGGCACGTGTTTCTGGCCAGGACTCAGGCTGCAGTTGGCCATATGGGATCAAGTTCCTCTTAACCTCCAGGCTAGAGGACTGGCCGTCAAGGAACTTTCTGAAGACCCCTCATGTTTCCTATCCCAAGATATTTCTAGTAACCCTGGCCCAGTTAAGCTCAGAATGCATTCTGAATTTTATTTTTTTTTAAGTTTGTGCCATAGGGTGTGTGCACTCACCAGAGACATAGAAGGGACGGTGAGAGGGAAAGTGAGAAGTCACTCCCCACGGGAAAGGCCATGCTGCAATTTCGTTTTCTCCGTTCTCCTGGGATTGGGGCGCACATGCACGTACGCCTGGCGTGATTTTCAAGCCACCAGGCCCAGGACTGGAACCATACTTGGCCATGTGAGAGTTCAGCTCCTTAACCACAATGCCACCTGCTGGCTGGCCCTTGGAATAGCAATGTTAATATGCTTTATACTTTAACAAAAATAGGAATGTCAGCTACAGCGATTTGCTCTAAAAATTGAATGCTTTCACTCCATTACAAAGTTCTTAGGGAAAAATCAAAGCCCTAACAATCTATCTTTTTGATAAATTAAAGTCCAAACAAAGTTTATTACCTAGTAATAAACTCCTCATTTCTATCTTTGAAATTAAAGTCCAAAGAAAGTTTATTACCTAGTAATAAACTCCTCATTCTTTTAGTGTGGTTAGTGTAAGCTGATTGTCAATGCCTGTTGGAATCAGAATTCCCTCTTACTTCAGGCCTAGGAATCTAGTTGGTTCTTTAAGCCCCTTGTAGGTTATATTAGCTGTGCCAAGTCCTTCATGAAACTGTTTAGAAAAATAGAAATTAAAGTCCAAAGAAAGTTTATTACCTAGTAATAAACTCCTCATTCTTTTAGTGTGGTTAGTGTAAGCTGATTGTCAATGCCTGTTGGAATCAGAATTCCCTCTTACTTCAGGCCTAGGAATCTAGTTGGTTCTTTAAGCCCCTTGTAGGTTATATTAGCTGTGCCAAGTCCTTCATGAAACTGTTTAGAAAAATACTCCAGAGAGTTAAGATGGCATGCAGGAGTGTCACAGCAACAATCCCACACCTGTTTAAAATAATAATAATCAATCCTTAGAAGAATGATTCCAGGCAAAAGTAAGTCCCCAGAGCCTGGTGCTTACTCTTGCTAAAGACCATAGCAGATAAAGCGTGTGTCAGAGTGACGGAAAGTGAATAGAAAACATCTTCATTTCAGGTTCCACGGGGTCATTATTTACTGTCACGTGATAATGTGAAGTTTGCTGGTGAGCACGGGGAACAAAGGGAGTCCATTTTAGATAACCATGATTCCAGCCCCGGTGCCCTCGAGCTGCAGCCATGTCTGCCACAAGCTGTCTGATAGAGAGGTGCCTGAGCCAGCCCGCCGGGCCTTCGCCTGGGAGCAGCCGATCTATGACTTGAACTGGCCGGTGGTTGGGAGGGCTTTAAATGTGCGTTGCTGAAGTCTTTGCTTTTTCTGCAAGATTTCACTGTTGTGCGATGTAGAAGAAATAGAATTGTGCTCCTACTTCCACTTGCACATGTGTACTGTTTCAGAGTCCAGAGCCTTCTGGGCCCAGACACGGTGTCCTGGTACGGCAGAGCTGTCACGCACACAACATGGTCCTGCCATCTGGCCTCTCTGATAGCAGGCAGCTCCCCAGCTGGGGAAGTTACAGTCGTGTCTAGGTGGGTGTAACCGTCCTAGTACTCAAAGTCATGGACTGTTACCAAGAAATGCGTTTCATTTTATTCTGAGAACTGTGTAGACCAATCTGAGAAAAGTGTGTATCTTACTTAGAGCAATTTGGTTTTGGTCTTTCCTTGGGGAAAATAACAGCCAAGTTGGAGTGCTATACGGATGGGTACCAAGCCCTGACCTGTCACTGATTTTCTTCCTGTAGGATTCCCAGCAAGAACCTGAAATCTCTCTGACAACACTCGTGAACTTTGTGGACATTACCCAGAAGCCAGAACCTCCAAGGGGCCAACCCAGAATGGACTGGAAACTGCCGTTTGACTTCTTCTTCCCTTTCAAAGTGGCATTCAGCAGAGGAGTGACTGCTCAGAAGGGCTCCGCCCTACCCACCCTCGTTCTGTGCCTCTTACTGCTGGCGCGCTCAGCCTAGAGACTAAGTGAAGAAAGCGTGTTCAGGTTCCCAGTTTCCCTGTGGGAAGCTCTGAGTCAGCCTACTTATCTTGGCTAAACAGATTCTCCCCTGCTCATGACCAGAGATGAACTTGATACAGTACGGGTTCTAACTGAAGGTATCTGCTATAGGGCATGAGCGCTCGCCGGAGAGGCTGAGGGGGACGGGGAGACAGAAAGTGAGAGATCCTCCCCAGGGGCGATGGCCATGCTACGGTCCCTTCTCCAGTCTCCTGTTGGGTTTTGGGCATGCACATACACATACACCTAGCGTGAGTTTCAAGCCTCTGGGTCCAGGACTCAAACCTCAGTCAGCCATATGGGAAGCCAGCAATGTCACCCCTATGCTGTGTACTGGTCCCCAAAGGCATCTTTGTATACTTAAGAAGATGTTTAGAAAAGCAATATACCTTTTCTTCATTGTAGCCCTCAGCTAGGGCTCTGTGTCCCCCCGGGAACGTGCTCACTCCTCAGCTTCTCAAGCTGGAGAGGCAAAGAGCCTTCCTCCAGCCCTGCCAGTGCTGTAGGCCCAGCTAAAGGCGTGCGAGATCTCCGTCCACCTGCTCACAGGCACAGTCAGGCCCGACAGGAAGAGGAACACGCTGCTGTCACCCCACAGGAACTTGGCATAGCTGCCCTCTGGACTTGGAGGCACTGACTGCTCAGGACAGAAAACTGCTGGCACATTTCATCTGGCTCCTTCGCCAAGGTCTGGCCTCACCCTTGACCCAGGCATCAGGGGAAAACAGGTCTTTGTACTGAGTGTCTAAGGCGAATGAAATCCTGGCTCCCTTCCTACAAGGAGGTGACCCCACCTGCTCTTTCCTTCTTCCCACTGTGGTGAGGGAAATAAAACTGGCTGAGTGCTTTGTTGCGTGGGCCCCAGTGGCCTAGCAGAAGGAAGCTGACCACTGGGCACCTTGTGGATCTTCCGTGTGTGTGCAGTTAGAGAGGGGACTTTCATTCATCTTAGGGAACCTGGGTTCTTTTCCTGGGAGACGCATGGTTGTATGACACTGGCATGAGTATTGTGTTCAGCATGAAATGTTTCCTAGCATAACGTTGGCTTACAAAGGGCTCTGCCTGCCCATCGCAGAGATTCCGGCATGCAGAGAGAAGTGCTTTAGAAGGCAGTTTCTGGGCCAGCAGGTGGTGTGGGGGCTGGATCCCACATGACCGACCACATGGTTTGGGTCCTGGCCCCAGGGGCTTGGGAGTCATACCAGGCACATGTACATGTGTGCCCGGAGTCCTGGGACGAGAGGGGATTGCAGCATGGCTGTCGGCCATTTGACTTTCTGCACGGTTTTTATTTAACCATATATTCAATTTAAAGAGGTTCTTTTACTGTAAAAGATGATGTACAGTTTGGGAATTGAAACCCCAGCCTGCTGTGGAGAGACAGGCACTGTCATGTACTTCTGGTGAGATTATAAACTGGTGGAGACCTCAGGACAGAGGCAGGTAGCTCTTTGATTATTTGTACCAAAAGCCTTAAAAACATGAATACGGGGGGCCAGCAGGTGGTGTGGTGGTTAAGGTGCTGGACACCTACATGGCCAACTGTGGTTCTAGTCCTGGACCCTGTGGCTTGAAACTCACACTGGGCACATATGTGTGTGTGTCCAAAATCTATCTCCCCAGGGGGTGATTTCTCACTTTCCCCCTCTCTGTCTCTGTCTCTCTCCGGTGAACTCACATACCCTATAGCAAGGACCTAAAAATAAATAAATAAAAATAAGTGGATACACTTTGACTCAACAATCCCAGTTATTAGAGATCCAAGGGAAAAGTGTCCAGTAGGGGACACGTAAGTAAATTATAGTATATCCATAAATTGGAATGTTCGACACTGTATAGACCTGCCTTCGTTGCCATAAAAAAATCATTTCATCATCATCATTATTATGTTCTGGTTTGATTAGAGAGAGACAGAGAGAGAAAGTGAGAAAGCGAGCCATCCGGTCCGGGATTCGAACCATGGTCGGCCATATGGGAGTCCAGCGCCTATAACCACCATGCCACCTGCTGGCCCAAAAAATCTTTTTTTAAAGACAGAGTGTTGATATAGTACCCAGGCTGGCCCGAACTCATGATCCTCCTGCCTCGGCCTCCTGAGTAGGTGAGGTGCAGGCCACTGCACCCCGCCAGCATGATTGGTTCTTTTTCTTTCTTCATGATAGAGTACGTGTGCACACGTGCGAGAGACTGCCTCGGGGTGGTCTGGTCACGCCCCAGTCCCCTTCCTCCGGACTCCAGCCTGTTTGATCGTGGGCGCTCACATGCGTGCCCAGCGCATTTCAGGCGGGCCGAGCCAGCGATTTGCACTTCAGGTGCTGTATGGGATCCACCGCATCACTGCTGCACCACGGGCCAGCCCAGTGGTCTGTTTTTAAGTGAACAGAACAGACTACAGAACAGAGCATATACTCTGTGGCCCTATTTTTGTTTTTTTTAAAAAAAAAAAAGTACAAACAATTCTGGAGGCTATATGTCAAAAATGGGCATAAAAAAGTATCTCTGATTTTTATAATCAGAAAATGAAACCATGTTTGAATAAAGTAGGTATTTGTTCTCTGGTTTACTGCCTGCAGGAATGTCCCTTGCCTACACGCGTGCGCGTGAGTGTGTGTGTGTGTGTGCAGCGTTCTGGGCCAGGCTTCTCAGTCAGTGGTTCCTAGTGCGGGACACAGCCACCTCCTGGGTGCTGTATAAAAGTCTAATTCCTGGGCTCCCCCTAGAGATTGTGACTCACTGGTGGGGAGTGGGCCTTCCAGGGGGAAGTTGAACATCGGGTAATCTATTTTTTAACGCCTTGCTGGTGCTTCTGATGTGCAGCCCAGTTTGTGAAGCTGTGAAGTGATGCAGCGCAGAGCGGCTGAAACCAGCTTCCTCCGCCTCTGTCCCGACTGCCCACTCATGATTACGTCCACCCTTTTTCCGAGAATCCCGAGCTCTGCTGAGGGGTGGGCTCAGCCTCCGGATCCGGATCTGCGCACGATCCTCCCCGCTCTGCCACAGCTGACTGGACCAAGCAAGGCCAGGAAGAGCTTCTTCCCTCCTGGGAATTTGGAGCCGAGTCCAAGGCTAGAGTTGGTCAGGAGCGGACACGACCTCGAAGGGTTTCTTAGGGCTGGGGAGGTTCTTCACTGACTACTCATGAACGGCGAGTCTCTTACAGGAGGCACAGGGGGAGGCGCAGTGCAGGTGCAGCTGGACCCACGTGGTCGGGGTTCTGAGTCCGTGTCCTGGGATCTCTGGGCACACCAGTCACACGTGTCCGTGATCCAGATTGGCGGGGAGGGGGTGGGCTGCAATGCAGGGGCCCTGTCGGAGGGGCTGGCCCCCCTCCCGTCCCTCTCTCTCACACACAATAAGTAATAAACGTTGACAAGGCCGGTAGCAGAGCCATACAGGCTGTAGGGTGCTGCTGCACAGGGCTGGAGCCACCTGGGGGGCCTGGGTTCAGATCTGGGGTGGACCTGAGTGTGTGAGAGCACCTGAGTGCACAGCCGCCATCCCGGCTGGCTGGGAGGCTGGGGGAGACCTGCAGTGTGGCCAGACCCCATCACGGGCATCTCTCCCTCTCCCCCCATTTCTTTCCCTCAATAAAATACTAAAAAAGAAAAGAAAGGGCCCATTAGGTGGTGTGGTAGTTAAGGCAGCTGGATTCCACATGGCTGACTCTGTGGTGTGAATCCCAGACCTGGTGGCTTGAAAATCATGTTGGGCACATGAGCATATGTTCCCAAAATCCCAAGAGGAGAATGGAGGAAAAGGTTTCAGTGTGGCCATCCCTCCTTTGGGATGACTTCTCATTTTCCCTCTCTTTGTCACTCTCTGGCAAGTGCATACACCCCATGGCAAAAATCTTAAAAAAAAAAAAAAAAGAAAGAAAGAAAAAGAAAGAGAAAGAAAGAAAGAAAGAGGGGAAAAGGAAGAAGATGTGAAGTTTAAACAAGAAATAGAAGGGCCGGCAAGTGGCATGGTGGTTAAAGGCGCTGGACTCCCACATGGCCGGCCACAGTTCAAGTCTTGGACCTGGTGGCTTGCTTTCTCATTCCTCTCTGTCTCTGATCAAACTGGAAAATAATAATGATAATAATAATACATAAAGTTAAATAAAATAATTCTAAAAAAAAAAAACTATAA